TTAATAGTAAGTGCTAAGATTTAATCCTATTAATATTACAATGACACTTTAACGGCTGTACTAATTCCAATGAAATATGGCATTAAATCGAATATTTCGATGAATAGAACAGGGATACTTTACATAAAAATTATTAATAATACGTTTAATTTTCGCCCAACGATGGGTCACTACTTTTTGTGTTTTAAACATATTTTTTTACCATTGTTAATATTTTGTAGTGACTAATAAAGCATATATTATAACCAGAAAATAGATAGGGCAGTTCAAAATTTTCAAAATTGTGGAAAATTATGCAAACAATGTTTTTTTTTTTTGTAAATGACAAGCAGGCAAATATCTCAAAAGATCGCTTAGAATCTATTCTGGTTTTAACAACCCCCTAAACCCGTTCTGAATGAAAGCGATTTCTTTATAGAAATCTTAACATTTAATGGATGCTTCTATCGACTTTCTCCCGAGTAACGAGAATATTAATAGAGCAGTAGTAAGCACAGGACTTTACCTACCTAAAGAAAATATTTATATACGACTAAGCATTTTACGCGCGACGGACGATATATATTTAATGGACATTTGAAGATTCGGCGATCGCAATTTGTGTTATATATTGAATCTCTATAATCAAAATTTTGCAAAAAATCTCTATAATTTCTTGCAAAATTTTTAATGGAATTGAGTTTATTGTATAAAATCTACTACTGTAAATAGGGAATGTACTAAAATGCGTGTCTAGGTAAAGACAATGCAATAATAATGAATTATGTTATAATAATTTATTTTTAAACTGTAAACGCAGGTATTACTTTCTGTAAAATATAAATTAGACCGCTATGGTCTGGCCTAGTAATCAGATAATTTAAGTATTAAAGTAAGCCGTAGCATACTGTATGCCTCTGTTTTCTTTTCTACTATATATACGTGAATGCTTTATTGAATTTAGAAATACAGTAAGAATAAATTCATATTGTTGTAATTGTATTAACAAGATAAAATTTCTTAAATATTTCAATAAGTATTATCAACATAATAAGTATTATAAAAGACTTTCAATAAATTATTATTAACATTTATTTGAAAATTAGCATTTACTTCGTTTTATTTGTAGCTTATTCCAATTTTAATGATTATTTACATTTCGAGTATTGCAAGTGATCTTATCTCATAAGAAAAACACAAAACAAGGACACACGCATACTACACATAATAGTAGCTCAGGGTATCAATTTTAGGGAAGCTCAGTTAAATCAGGTTAAAATTATTGCGTTAGCAGTCATATTAACAGTTTAATAGTAATGACTTCAACAGAACCAGAATATTGATTTAATGTTAATTTAATGTATCTAATGTTACAAACGTGTTACTATCATCTGTTAGCTTGTAAGCATGAATTACGTTAACTGCAGCCGAAGGACCCAAAAAACCGAAACTAGTTTAAAATACTTTATTATAATATAAAAATTACAATATAATTACTATAACTAAAATATAAGTGAATCAGATCGATGCTAGATCTAGAATGAATTTTAATTATTACAGTAAAAATAAGGTAAAGGTATATTACAGAGCTCCGGTTGCATCCGTTGACGTCAATGCTCACGTTCTGCTGAGTTGCGCCTCGTGCCGCTGCAATGTATCGGGGTCGCAGCTGTGTAGGCTCTTTACCTATGAGGCTATGTTGTAACTCCTCCACCCTCAGATCAGCAACTATTTTAGAACCTTGAGAGAAAAAGTTGCTGGTAATGCCTTTTTGACTTCGGATTCTTCGGCCTTTTCATAGCTATGTTGGGTGTTATTCTGGATCTGTTCTTGCTTCTCAGTCTTGTAGTAGTAACGAACTGAGATTATGATAGCGAATATTGCAATGCTTGATAACACGGCGTAAAAGGGAATAGTGGTGTGATATAAAGTTGGGAGATCCATCTCTCTCAGATGAAGTGGTGGTTGCATCATGAGTTGGTCCTGGGCTGCGTGGAGTCCTTTCAGGTTAATTGTATTAAGGCTGATTCGTGGTACTGCTGGGTTGCCTTTTGCGTTTATATCCATTGGTATTTTCATTAGTTTCAGTGGATGGCCTTCTACTTGATCGTTACTCGTAATATTGGTGATGGTGAATTCTTGTGTTCGCAGGAAGCAATTAATTGGTATTGTGATTAAGTAACTACCCTGTAATGTAGTAATATCTTCACGCCCGCATACTCTATGGACTTTAGTTGGTTGAGGGAAAGAGATGGTGTAGTGCTTGTCGTCAAGACGTTCCATGGCTTCTTTTGATAGTGCAATGTCGGTTATCTTACAGGATTTTGCTGTAGACTGATTGATGATGAGGTTCTGGATACAGTCGGATTGTGTTCAAATTTGGGTGTTCGTTTCCTTTTCGCATAGGTACCGATTACTCAACTTCGGACATTCTGTCTCCATGTACACGAATTTTTCTCTATTAGTTGCTATTAAAGGATAGGGTGGAATAATAGATTGGTGGTTTTTGTTAGGTACAATGGATAAGCTAAATAGGTCGAAGGTGTCTTTGGAAATAACAGGGAATTTTAGAACAATTACTATTTGATTTTCTGTAAAATAATAACCTGACTTAATGATATCGTAATATTCTCTAGTCTCTAAATTTAATACATGTTCCTTATCATAAATTTGCCTTAATCTTACTAACATAGACTTAATTACCTTAACACTTAACGTAGAATGGCGGGTGCTCGATGCACGACTAAATGCTAATATATTTTTAATCCTATTAAGCTCATTGAGCATATCATCAATATTTTCTGTTAAAATTGTGAGTAGTTGGGCTAACTTAGCATACTTGATGAGGCTACTATCTCTATAAGCGGCTCTGTCTAGTAATTGGATAAGCGTTGAGTTAATTTTGTTCTCGTTCTCAATTATCTGGGATATCACACTATTATGTTGTAACATCCATTCTTTACTAATGCTAATGTGACTATTGAATTCTGATTCGATCCTATCTTGGTTATCCTTCAAAACTTTTATGGCATTATTATATTTCGCGGCATCTAAATAATCTAGATTACCGGTTACGCATTTGATCACTGAGCCTAATCCGTCTACTAGACCTCTCTTAGTGCGACTAGGCTCTAAGCTATTTAGTTGTGATAATACTTTGTCTAGTTTGCTAGAAAGATAGTCCATTTGTAATTCGTACAGTAAGTTGGTGTTATTATCAAGTCTGGTCTTGTAGTTCTGTAGCTATACCTGCAATAAGGTTACTTTGTCTCTGATGTCGTCAAGTTATACATATTGAAGAAATGTATGATAGTGAGTTATGAGAGTCGTTGGTCCAAGTCTAAATGGTTGTAGGCCTGGTCCATCTTCAAGATATTCAAGTTTTATCTCCTGGGCTTCGATCGTCAGCACGGTCAGTACAGTCTGTAATTTTAGAGTTCTGTAACAAATCGGCAGTTTTAGGTACACGTTTAAGTCTAGACTTCCCTATCGGACCGCGTTTCCTAGACGTGTAAATGTGTATTGGTAAGTCAGCTAGAACATGATCATGGGTGTAACGTGGGGCTAATTTTTGTCGGCTAGCTAGGGGGTTGGAAACGAAAACTTGTTGGTTTGGTTGGTATTCAACCTCTGGTTCCCGTGATTTATTCCGATTATTTATTAATGCTCAACGTTCGGAGAAAGAATGTTCGTTAATTATTTCATACACTGTTTTCATTCGATCTCGGTGTGTTAGTGTGTATTGCTGCAGTAAATGTTTTGTCAAGTCGATGTTGATTGGGTCTCTTGGGTTGAAATGTCCATTGACAATATCGTAAGGCCTACATTTAGTGAAACTATGTACAGAACTATTGTATCCTAGGATAGCATAGGGCATTAGATTTACTACATGCTCGTCTTTCTTTTGTAGTTTTAGGATTCGCAGATGTTCCAGTATAGTCGAGTGGAACCGCTCTATGTTACCGTTGTCGTATGGACAGTGGGCTAACGTTCTATGATGGTTAATTTTGTGTAATTGTACGAACTCAGTAAATAGCTGGTTCGTAAATTCGGTCCAATTGTCGGTGATAATAGAAAGAGGAAGACCATGATGCGTACAGAAGGTAAGTAGGCTTTGTAAAATGCTCAATGCTGTTCCGTCTCTTAAATGATACGCTTGAGCATATTTAGAGAATACGTCTATAAATGTGAGATACTTTTCATTATGTACTGTGAACATGTCCATATGGATAATCTCGGAAGGTTTGGTAGCGGGGGGAACGGTATTGAATTGAGGTTTTAGAGGTTTCCTATCGTACTTACCTGACCACATATGGTACATTCATTAATGTATTTCGTAATGTGTTCCCTCATTTTGGGCCAATAGTATCGTTTGGAAAGGGCCAGGAAACTCTCGTTGATACCGCGATGGTTAGTTTTACCTTCATAGTAGTTCTTTATTATTTCTTGTTGTTGCAAATATTCTATGCTTCTGAATTTATCTTGTAAGACTGGAATGAAGTCATACATGCAAAGAGGGGGGTTAATTAATAATCCGGTTTTGACTTTTGGGCTAACGTATTCTTTTATGGCGTTGACAAGGTCTACTTCCATTTCCGGTTGTCTTATCTGTACAGCTGTTCGAGTATGTGTATCAAAAGGTTTGGTCACTATTGGTCGTCTTTTTATGTCGCCTACAATATTAGTTGTCTGTGGAATTTATTAAGAGGTTCGTCGGTAATAGGAATTTCAAGGATCGGATTTTCTTGGCTTGTGTGGGCTGTTTGAGTAGTCGAGCCAGTGCTAGGGGCTGTTTTTACTGATGGGTTAGCTAACATAGAACACGATTCTTCGTTATGTATTTCCACCCGGGAAAGCGCATCGGCATTGGTGTTATTTTTTCCTTTTTTATATATGACAGAAAAATCGTATTCGCTTAATTTTAATTTCCACCGAGTAAGTCGTGAGTTCGGTTCCTTAAGATTCATTACCCACTGAAGGGGTTTATGATCAGTTAAGATTTTAAAAGTACGGCCAAATAGTTAGGGTCTAAAGTACTTGGTTGCCCACACGATGGCAAAGAGTTCTTTCTCTATAGTGCTGTAGTTAACTTCGCTCTCATTTAGAGTTCTAGAAGCGTAACATACAGGTTTGTCTAATCCTATGGGTCCCTGAGATAGGATGGCTCCTATTGCTACATTGAATGCGTCAGTGGTCAGGATGAATTCTTTGTTGAAGTCAGGATATTGAAGGATTGGGTCGTTAGTCAAGAGAGTCTTGCACTTTTCGAAGCAGTTAATATAGTCTGTGTCAAGAGTTATTTTTCGTCCCTTTTTTAGACATTGTGTCAGAGGTTTAGTAATTCGTGCAAAGTCTGGGATGAACTTCCGATAATATTCTATAAGGCCTAAAAACTGTTTAATCTCTTTTGCGGTTTTGGGTAATGGATACTTTTCTATGGCTGATATTTTACTAGGATTTGGCTTAATGCCGTCTTTACTGATTATATGTCCTAAATAAGCGGTTTCCAATTTAAGAAACTCGGATTTATCCATTTGTATTTTAAAATTGGATTCCCGTAGTTTCTGAAATACTTTCTCGAGATTTACCATGTGTTCTTGTAAGGAAGTGCTGAACACAATAATATCGTCTAAGTACACGAGACAAACTGTATTTTGGAGGTCACGGAGCACGTTATCCATGACACGCTGAAACGTGGATGGCGAGTTCTTCAGGCCCATGGGCATCCGTAAGAACTCGAAATGCCCATGTTCAACGTTGAATGCTGTTTTCGGTATGTCACTGGGGTTCATTTCGACCTGGTAAAATCCACTGGTTAAATCAAAGGTTGTGAAATATTGGCAATTTCCTAACTTATCTAGTACATCCGATATATTCGGTATTGGATATTTATCGCTAATGGTTTTTTTCATTTAGCTTCCTAAAGTCGACTACGAGTCGCCATTTAGTCTTGCCGGAAGCATCAAGTTTTTTAGGAACTATCCAGATGTGAGAGCTCCATGCAGATTCGGACGGACGAATTATACCTTGCTCTAACATTTTACTGATTTGTTGTTTAACTTCGTCTCTATGAACGTAAGGGTACCGATAGCTTTTAGTATATATCGGTATCTCATCAGTGGTCCGGATGCTATGCTTTATTTTATTAGTAATGTGAGCTGTTCGCCTTCTATATAAAAAACGTCAGCGTATTTGGCACATAATCTTTCTAAATTAGCGCGTTCTTCGGCATTTAGATGGTCGGTGCGAAAACGTGATAATACTTTTTTGTAATGTGGGAGTGGTTGAACGTTGTGAGAGGACTCGATGTTATACGTCTCAGCACATATTGGACGATCTAGGGAGAAAATTATATCGTGCGGAGTCGGGTTAAATACCTCTATAATACCGCGGTTATTTAACACTAATTTTAGACATTCGTTTATCACGCAATTAGAGATGTATTGTTCGCTAACTAAGGCTTCTCCGTCATGGACATTAATAGGTACTTTTATCAATTTTGAAGCTTGGGATGGTATCACGTCCTCGTAAAAATTAATATTTCTAGAGTTATACATTAAGATGGGGTTGTAAGCTAACCGTGTTACAAGTAATCTATCCTTTAGATCTATTCTAGCTTCCCATTTCTCTAATAGGTCGAGACCAATAAGGCCATCGAAGTAATCGTGAAATTTATAAATATATAATTTAATAATATCAGGCTCTTGGAATTCGGAAAAGCATGGAATAGTTATCAAATAATTATTCCTAGTTGTAGCATGCACATTCGTTACCTCGAACGGATCATAATTTAAAGGTATATGTGAAAAATATTTTTGTATAGCTTCTGGATTAATGAAGGACTGATTCGCTCCGGTATCGATTAGAAATTTTAACGGAGGGTTAGAAATACATATGTATGAAAGCTGTCTCTGCGTATGTAAGTTAACTTCTATTTTGGCTTTTTTGAAAAACGAGTCTTTTGAAAATCCTGGGGCAAACTGCTTGTAGGTTGGCAGTCTATGTTATCTTGTTCGTTTATCTCAGTTGAGTCATGGTATTGGTAATGCTGTGTGTCGTCATAGTCATAGGTCACAGTATTGGTATAGTCGTCATTATCATTATAGTCGTAATAGTCGTATTGGTGTTCAGGATAATAGTAATTATCGTAATCAGCACATTTGTTAAAATTCAATTCCCTACTTTTGAAGTAATTTAAAGGCAGCGGGTTACCGTATTTGCGCCAATCATGACCGGTCAGACCTGTCGGAGGCATTGGTTTAGGTACGTAATGGCTAACCCCACTCTTAGGCTTCGGACCTGAGTCATGGGGTGGATTCCTATTTGGTAATCTAAACGTAGTACTATGGGGTTTATAATTAGGTGGCAAAGCGCGGAACATTGGTTGAGTTCTCGTAGGCATGTTATACTGTGGTGGCACGTTAGGCCTAAAACCTTGCTGCTGTGGTACATGTAAAGGTCGCTGTAAATTGGGCATTGGTATCGGTGCAGGAAAACTGAATGGTTTTTGCAAAGGTAAGGTCATGTAGCTACGTTGGAGAGGCTTAGGTGCTTGAGGTTTCCTCTCGGCGAAAGGTTCACCGCGTTGTTGCAAGTACAAAACATTCAGTTCTTCCTGTACAAACTCCAAGACTTTTTCAACGGTATGCAACGCATGCAACGTATTCGTGAGCCTAGTGGCTCCTTTAAACCGCGCACGAAAGCTTGCTTCGTTAGATTCTTATATAATACACGTTTGGCTTCTATTGTAGTAGGCAAGGTTTCATGAAGCGTAACATACGTCATGATAGTGCTGAACAGTGTCTGACATCGTGCATAAAATTCTTGGGGAGAGCTGTTCCCCTGAGTAGCTAATGAGAGGTCATTATAGTCCGCCGTTTCGGCTCTTTGGTCCGAAAAGTTATTGATTAAAGCTTTACGAATGCCATGCCAGCTTTCAGGAATACCATTTGAATTTAAAGTAGTCGCGGCGGGTCCAGTTATTTTATTTAATATACCGTTAAGCAAGCATAAGTTCGATAGTTCACTGCCAGGTTCATTACTTAGATATGCAGCACATATTTGGTCACATAATTTTATAAACCTAGTTAGTACATTAGGATTACCGTCAAACTCTGGCACTGGGCGTAAAACTTTGAAAATAGTGTCAGGGTCGTGGGCCATTTTTGATTCCTCGGTAATTATATCTAACTCTAAATAACAACTTAAATCTCTATTATAGTCTAAACTTTCTCTACGTGGCTGCCTACGCGATGTAGGGTCACAGTGGGATGATTTCCTTGGATAGAAAATTTTGACAAGAAAGATTTACACTAGGAAAAGGAAAGCAACACTAGATAAAATTCTGGTGTACTTACATAAATTTCATCTCGGTTTTCTCGGGATCGATGTCTTGATGTATCCTCTTGGCTTGCAGTTGACACGTAGTAGATTCGAATACTCGTTTAAAGCTTGAAAGCTACGATAGCCTATCTTTTGAGTATCCTACCGACTGCGCCAATTACGTTAACTGCAGCCGAAGGACCCAAAAAAAAACCGAAACTAGTTTAAAATACTTTATTATAATATAAAAATTACAGTATAATTACTATAACTAAAATATAAGTGAATCAGATCGATGCTAGATCTAGAATGAATTTTAATTATTACAGTAAAAATAAGGTAAAGGTATATTGCAGAGCTACTGTTGCATCCGTTGACGTCAATGCTCACGTTCTGCTGAGTTGCGCCTCGTGCCGCTGCAATGTATCGGGGTCGCTGCTGTGTTTTTTTTTTTTTTTTTATAAGAGAGGGGGCAAACGAGCATGCGGCTCACCTGATGGTAAGTGACTACCGCCGCCCATGAACAACCGCAACACCAGGGGAATTGCAGATGCGTTGCCGGCCTTTAAAAAGGAGTACGCTCTTTTCTTGAAGGTCCCTAAGTCGTATCGGTCCGGAAAAATCGCTGATGGTAATCGATTCCACAAGGAGGTCGTGCAGTGGTGGACCGCCAATCATCCAGATGGTGTGGATGGTATCGGGAGATCTGCCGCGATGTGCGTTCGTGAAATTTGGCGGCTGGGATTAATCCGAACAATTCCTCAGAGCACTCCCCATGGTAGATGCGAAAGAAAATGCAAAGGGATGCAACATCTTCGCAGTGCCAATGAATCAAGCCGATCGGAAAGGGCTCGGTCGTCGACAATTCGAGCCGCTCTGCGTTGGATGCGGTCAAGTGGAAGGAGCTGGCACTGGGGAGCCCCTGCCCAGAGATGGGAACAGTATTCCATGTGAGGCCGAACTTGCGCCTTGTAAAGTAGCAGGCGGTGTGCCGGCATGAAATACTGTCCCGCTCTGCTGAGCACGCCAAGCTTTTTAGAGGCCAATTTGGCCTTCCCTTCCAAGTGACCACGAAACTGCACGTCACTCGATATGTCGACTCCGAGGATACCGATACTGGCTGAGGCAAGAAGGGGAGTGCCTTGAAACTGAGGAGATACGACAAAGGGGTCCTTTTTAGCGGTAAACGCGCAAACTTGTGTCTTCTGAGGATTAAATTGGACTAGATTTATTCGCCCCCAATCCGATACTTTGTTCAGCAAAGACTCGACTTCAGACACAAGTTTGTTCCGGTACTCAGCGACGTTTTCCCGAGAAATATTGGCACGGCCGGTGTATAGAGCATCACCAGTGCTGTCATGTAGGCTCTTTACCTAAGAGGCTATGTTGTAACTCATGTCTAATAATAAATAAATAAATAAATAAATAAATAAATAAATAAATAAGACATAACGAAACGGATTATGGCAGCCTCGTACCGGTAAGCGAAGTATAGGGTCGGCCCCAAACTAGGTAAATAATTAAGGGATGCAGGAACTCTATGGATGTACGTGGCTATGATTGAAAAAAAAATTGAGGGAAATTTAAAGCGGATTAGTATTTTCGAACTAAGATGTGACTAACTATTTTTGATTATGTTTTACGTTAACAAACTCAATTTTTTTGTCATACGTTTTTGACGCTGAACGGTATAGGTCTCGGTAATACAAACACATTAAAATTGTCTTAATCATCATACATCGAAGTTAAAATATTATTTAGATACCAAGATCACGATATTAATTAAACTAATTGGCAAAATTAATTACGATAAAATATCATAAGCCTTTCAATTTTGTAAACGATAATGTAATATGTATTTTGGATAATAGCGATTATATTTGTAATCCGAAAATAACATCCCATTTTCATCATGACTAAATTAATTAGAGTTTTGGTACAGCACTCCCCATACCTTTTATTACGTTTAAGGGTTTTGGTTCCTAACCCAAGAATTGTTAGTTTCTTTCAAGAGTTAGAGTTTTGTAAACTAAATGAAAACAACTACAGTGTGTGACTTTCAAAACCAATATTATAAACATAAGAATACGGTGACCTATGCAAATCATAAATAAAATACAACAAAACATAAGACGTGTTATTTACCACCTTATAACAATAAAAGTTATATAATAACAACAAATGCACAGTAAATTAAGTACCCTATAAAATCGTTTAAAATAACAACGGACCAATAATATTTAACAAAATAATGAGTAACAGAAAAGTGCAGCGAAATTTATGTTAAAAAACTCTTCAATAAGTACTTAAAAGTGATTGGTTCATTAGGAACAACAAAAACCATTGGTGAATAAATTTACATTCAAAATTGAAACTACCTACTTGCAACAAAAAGTTATCTGACAGAACTAGTAAGCGATCCACAATTATTTCGCTTGAAGAATCGTACGACTCCGTGGCGTGGAAACGTAACGCGCTACTATATCGTATCGTAGTCAGTTCGAAACTAAGCTACTGCATGACTTTTTGTGGTTTATTATAGACTTACTATAACAGATAATTCTAAGGCTATACAAAATATACACTACTA